TACTAGAAGATGGATGCGCAACTGATCCTGCCGTCCTCAGGGTAACTGTAGGACACTGAACTGGAAGCCGCCATTGCTTTAGTTCAGGGTGAAAGCGGCCTAAGCCACTGCTCTCAGTTCAGGGTTTCCAGCTAAGAATGATGAAAACATATTGTTCAGTTTTGAAGTAAAATTCTCCATGTTTTCATATTAAAGGTGGACATTAGTCACAATATATGATACAGAAAATATTAAATACATTTAATAAAAATTAACATTGATATGAAACTAAGGAAGAAAATTTTTATCTAAACCTATAATTAGTATAATCTTATTTAGCGAAGAAATAAATGCTCATTTGCTGCCAAGTATTTTTATTTTTGCTGATTGCTCCATATAAAAGTGGATTTGTTTGAGGAATACGTTACTGAAAAAGCACAGCATGATGCATTTAATTTATGTATTTCTGTCTGCCCTTCATCCCTGCCTTTCTGAAGCATGACTTCCTCCTGCTTCTAGCAGAACTTTCAACTGTGCAGCCTTGCCTTCCAGCCCAGGAGATAAATATCTCCAAAACTGTCAAATGAAAGTACCATTCCTAAGACACAAGGATTCGTAAGGAGCGTCACGCTGAAGAATGAACAGTGTTCCCTTCCCTAGGAGTGCTAGCTCTAAGAACACAGAAACCTCTATACCCAGAAGGAAGCCACACAGACGCAAGCAGACGTGGGAGATGAGAAGCGAGAGAGAGTCATGATGGCAGCATTTGAATTCCTAAAACCACCTATTAAAAAAAAATACGTCTCTTGAGTATTCTAAGCAGACGTGCCAACTGTTTCTCTTTTCTATATAAGCTAGTGTGAATTGGGATTTTCTTATTTGCAACTTAGAAATCTTGCATAATTCAAAGGTAACCTAAAATTTCTTAAGCCCAAATAAAATAAGACAAATGCGAAGAATGTTATCTAACACTTACTTTCCAAGGTATAACCACACATTCACAATTCTAAGGAAGTAGCCACAGAGTCTTGTTCTAATGTACCTGATTAAGGCAAGGAGGAGGAATACCGCAGTAAGATGACTTAGCAGGACTAAGAAAAAGATACTACATTCAAAGCAATAAAACTCCATTTTATATTTTTCACTGATGTTCTGAATAAAAATATTCACCTGTTCAATGATTGTTCACAGATGGTCTACAGTGTATCTAGCACAAATGTCTGTGCTTAGAAATCACAAGGAACAAAACAGTGGAAAACCATGTTCATCTCTTTCAGCAGCAGAAACAGGCAATAAACAACCAAACAGTAAAAGGGAAACTGCATAAACATTGATTTAAATGATATCAGAAAAGTTGACGATGAAGAGGGGAATTAACAGTGGGAAAATTACTTTTTAAAATAAGGTTTGCCAAAGATTCCTTGAGGTGGTAGTAGCTAGTGACCTTAAAGAATCAAGGTCATTAACAAGTGAACGCTCAGAGAAGAGTGAACACATCCATATCTGAATATCTGACTGGCACAAATAACAACCAAACTAAATGGACAGTTGAAAAGGAAAAACGCTGGGGTGAGTTCGAAAGAGAGCAGGAAGTGTGGGGTTAGTGCGGGTCACTGTGGCACAGTGAGAGGAAGAGAAAGTAACAGAGAATTCAGAGGGCAATGGCAGGATTTCTCTACAAGATAAGTGACTGGTTTGGTAAGAGCACATCAAAATAACTACAGTGCAATGTCACAGCTGTATATAGTTTTTCCTATTACTTGTATAAACTCTTTGTGGCAGACTGTCAAGTTGTTGATATCCACATCCTTCTTGGTTTCATAGTCCATCATGTTGTTGGTCGAGATAGATGATAATTTTCTGGCCAATGACATGTTAGCAGAAATGAGCTATGTAAATGGATTTGTAGGTGTTTTGGTTATGATCTACAATGCAGAACTGATGGCTGCCTTTGGAATGGTCTTTTTAGCCTTGGAAAGATGGTAAGGAATATCGGAGTTTGAATCTTGGACAAAGCCTAAGAACACACTACCCCTGGACACTCTACCCATATTTTAACATAAAAAATAAATATTTACCTCTTCAGTATTAATTTGGGTCTTGGCTACTTGCAGTTGAAGCTACTTCTGCAGTCCTGATATTATATCTGACTAAGTTGCGTTCAAAAACTTAAAATATATGGTGATGATTCAGGAAAGGAATCATGCAGACCACTAGGGTGGCCCAAACTGTAAATTTCACTGACTCCTGGACTTTGAGCCTTAGAGGACTGAACTACATCACTATATCCCAAATGTAAAGGATTTTACATTTAATTTAAATGTAGAACCTCATGGGCACCTGCATGCACATGTACATGTACATACATAAATACAAGTTAATATAGTAAATATTAAAGCATGTGTTCAGGTGCCATCTTTAACTGTAATGTGGGTTCAGCAATAGACTACAAGCTTACCGATGGAGGTGCTGGATTGCTAAAGAAATAAAATTCTGTCATTGTGCAATAAATTAAATCTCAAGCTCCATTTCTCTCACTTGAGAAACTGCCCACAAAACTTGTACAGTGATCTAGAATCCATCATCAACCATCTCAGATGTGGTCATGTAGTGAAATATACCTAAAGGAACTTTCTAGCCATCAGAATAGGGGTATCTAGATGATCGACTAAGGAAATTGCTTACCATCAGAAAAGGGAGCCTCATGGCTTCCACAGAGCTCAGCAACACTGATGATCATTATGGACCAGTGACTATGTAGGTCCTGTTCTGATTTCTAAATATACATCCATTAGAAATTGTATATAGTGTGGAGTTTGGATTTCTATAATATGCAATGCCACATAAAAACCTGTTACTTTTTATGCTAAACTAAAAAAAATTAATAAAAATTTAGTTTCCAATATACAAATTTACCCCAGCCTGAGAACTCTTGGCACTGAGGCCTTGCAGGAAAAGAGGGACAGGGGGAGACTTCACAACATTGGCACAGTGAGCTGTCTTCTGGGGATCCACTAAACCAGCAAAAGGCACTCCGGGCAAGCACAGATTTGAAGGAATTGAGAGATGGTTTTGAGGTGCATTTTTGGCTATGCCCACATATCTGATCAGATATTCTCAGTGTTTTATGTGGAGGTGTTTTCAGCTAGACCTGGAGTCAAGTTAAATTTCTGGATACAGGAACTGGTAGATAGAGCCAGTCAGGTAACGGATGTGATAGAATCAAAATTGGTGCAATGTTTTGCATGTCTGACCCTTGACAGACTCACATTGATATTAAATTGCTATGGTAACAGTATTAAGAGGTGAGGTTGATTAGGTCAGGAGGATCTTCCCATTATACATGGGTTAGTAACATGATTATTAGAAGAGTGGGCTTCTTAATAAGAAGGGTGAGTTAAGCTTCTTGCCTTTCCACATTTTCTTGTGTAATTAATTATATAGGATGAAAGCCCTTGACAGAAACCAGTTCCTTAAAATTGGACCTCCTAGCATCCAGACCTGTAGTGAAACAGTCCTTTGTAGGTCACCCAGTCAATGGTAATTTTTGCAAAGCAGCTGCACCCAAGGAGAACAGAGTGATGGTAGGCTTTCTCCTTATTTGGGAGATGGCACATGAAAGACTTCCTTTCTGAATTACAGTGAACTCTTTGTTTGTTTTTGCTTGTTTTTTGAGACAGGATTTCTCCGTAGCTTTGTAGCCTGTCCTGGAACTAGCTCTGCTAGATCAGGCTGGTTTTGAACTCACAGAGATTGGCTTGGCTCTGCCTCCTGAGTGCTGGGATTAAAGGCATGAGCCACCACTGCCCAACTCTTACAGTGAACTCTTAAGGTTAGTAGATAACTCATAGGTTTTCAAAGGACATATATGGCCTTGGAGTCTACACTAATTTAGCATAGGAAAGGATAAAAGAAATATAACTCAAACCCTACAAAAATCAAAACTAATTCATAGTCCACATAAGAAAGATCATGTCTTTCTCTGACATTTTCAGACTATTTGACCAGAAATAAAGCTTTCTGGGTTTCAGTTTTTCTCATGCGCATAAAAGGGTCATTCACATGGTGATGAGGATAAAATTAACTGGAGAAGGCACACGCAGAGTGCTTGGCAGATGATGGACTTTCCACACAGAGTGTGATGTTAGATGACTCCACACCAGCATCAGAAGAGACCGAGAGCACAACACAGCAGGTGCTTTGCTGCTCCCAGCACTCTCTGCAGACCAAGGGGGACTGGCACTCTCTCCGCTTACGCCTTTCATAGTAAGAGCGCTAAAGTTCAACCCTTAAAACCCATTACCCTCCCTAAGTCTTTCACAGGTTGGGTCCTCCTAAACTGGAGAGGGCTTATAAGCGAAGGTCAGCCTGTGTACAGCAAGGCAAAATTACATCAGAGAGTAAGTCATCTTGCAGAATGAATTCTCTTGATTGTTTGGGGGTGTTTACTATTATAGTCCAATTATTTAAAATAAAATTATGCCCAATTATGCAAAATTATATCTTAGAATACTACAGTAGTTTTACATTTTCCTTACACCTGATGATGATCCTAATTTTCAGTAAAAGAGGTAATAATTTCAGTGAGAGATAGTTTTTCTCTGTAGACTGGTTTCAACATGTCGTTAGTGGAGTGAGTTATGTAAGTGTGAAATCATTATCATTATTAAATGCAATATTTCTTCTGTACTGTTACTATAAAAACAGTGTCATCCTCACTAAAAGGAGACCATATTCACAGGTTAAATATAATATGCAGAATACAATGGGGCTTCAAGTAACATTCCAGTATGTTACTAATTAAATGAGAACTAATTGTTAATTAGAAATTAAGGAAATAAAAATGTGTTAATTTTAATTTGACACTAAATATTATGGGACTTTAACAGAGTACAGGTAAAGGCATTGCCTTATGTTTTATTAATATGTGCATAGTTTATCCATTGACACGTTGAAACCCCATTTTTAAAGCTTCCTCATTAATTGTTTTACATGAATATGCAGCCCCCTCTTATGCTTACCCTGAAGTCAGCTTTGCCTTTCTTTTACAATAGACATCTGAGTACATAGTGGTTCCAGGCCAGGACTCTGACATCCTGGTGCACCCCTTCTATGTCAGTTAGGACACGTCACATAATCTGCTGTCTGGTTTCTCTGGCTGCAAAACGAGAATTAAAAAGATAAACATAAAAGATGGGTTTCTATGGCTTAGCACATAGCTACTGAAAGACAGTTCAGCGGTCCTCAAGCTGGGGTGTAAAGGACCATAATTATCCAGTGCTAGGTCCTTCATGGAGACTTTCTGTGAGGTGTGCAAGAGTGAACAGCTTTTAGAAAATTCATTTCCAGAGTCTTGTATTCCAAAGCTTTTCTAAAGTGCATCTGCCCAAGAACCTTCTCGTCCTAACTACACAGTCTCTAGTTCTCTCTTCTCAAAAGGAAGGCTTTCATTTCATGCTTATCCTGGACCTTAAAACAAAGGAAAGATTCAGAATTCCTTCCATCTCACACATGCACGCACACTCGCGCGCATGCACACACACACACACACACACACACACACACACACACACGCACACACACGTGTGCTCCCCCAAGCATGTTCACACACAAGTACGTGCGCACACACAGAACCTGCTGAGTCAATTGAGTATTGTTCATATGTGTGTGTGTGTGTGTGTGTGTGTGTGTGTGTGTGTGTGTGTTTAGGACTGACCACTTGGAACTGGATAACTGAAGAGTTAGTAAGGGAATTGTCCTCGGCGACAACTGGTTTTCCTTCTATTAGCTGCCATTGATTGTATGTAGCTTTTCATCTAGGAATGAGATCTTGTGAGATTTTCCCCCATCCATGCTGGAATGTTAACTGGTGTCACTGTTCAGGTCTTGTTTGGGAAACCATATTGTTAAAATTTCATGGGTATAAGTCCCTGTCATACATATGAGACACTTTCTCACAGCAGACTTCCTGGGCCCTTGGTTCTCAGAATCATTCTCCCTGACCCTTCTGTGATGGTCCCTGAGACATAGGTGTAGGAGTTGTATCGTAGATGTATCAACTGGGAAAGGGCACCCAATAGTCAGTTATAGTTTTCTCAGAAGTAAGGACCTATTCCACAGGTAAGATATGAGTTTTGGTAATTTCTTCACAGTAAACAAGATTCTTTTTATTTTCTCTTTCTTTCTTTCTTTCTTTCTTTCTTTCTTTCTTTCTTTCTTTCT